TATATATATATATATATATATATATATATATCAATTGGGATTATCAATCAAATAATATTAATTGTTGTTTTATCTTTATGAATATAATATTATAAATTTGAGTTAATAAGGTTTTTTTTTATTCTTCAACTTTTAGGAAAGTGGATTGGTATCAATTTTTTAATTTATAACCTACCCTCAATCTTCTCCTCAAAGACTCTCTTATATTTAATTTTTAAAACTTGAGAATTTTCTATTTTTCTTTTGATTTTAATTTTTATTTTCTATTTTATTTTGTTAAGAATTATTATATCTAGTTAAAATTTTCTTTTATGATTTTGAATACCAATTGTCTCTTAATTCAAATAGCTAATCACTTCCCAACTTAATTCAAAGTATCATAGTTTAAAAGATATTAATTGGAATTAAATTATTTGGATTAATAATCATTAAGTTTTATATATTTGATGAATTAATTTTATGCGTAGTAAATTTAGTTTTAAGTATTTAAGAATCCTTATATAAAAGAATGATTAATTATCATAAGAGATTAGCTATTAGTGGGCTAATAATCAATTCTAATGCTTAATGAATATTTGTGTCATTTTCAATTATTTTTTATCTATTGTTAAATCAAAATGAACCCTAACTAAATCTATCATATTTATTTGAAAGTCTAAAGTGTTGATATTTACAGTTATTATAAGACACAAGCTCTTAAAATTAACTCTCCCCCAAACTTATTTTACACTAATCATATGAAAATAATAATAAGATAAGGAAATATAAATAATAAGGAATATAAAAGTGAAAGAAAAGAAAGTAAATATATAACAATAAAGACATATTAGAATGGAAAATATATAACTAAATAGTAGTAAACACCTGTATCACACACTCATCACATAACAATCACATAAATCATAAGAAACACATAACATTTATAACAATTATGAAGAAAGTAAATAGCACATCTCACAAGTTCATTGAAATATAAGTCATAATGTCCAATTTAAAAAAAATACAAATAGAATAGAAACATAATTGACACATAGGTCATACAACCAAATAAAATTAAATAGAACATCAAAATATCAAGAAAGCATTAACAAAAGGTTATAATCATAGGCGGTTTAGGCATCCTCCTCCTCCTCCACGAGCAACAGGAAATCCTCATAACTTTGAAAGGCTATTGTGGTAGGAAACTGAGGAGAGTCAAGTCTCGCATTCACCTACTAGTTATGGAACATGTCTACCAGCCTTGAGTTGAATTATGTTTAATATTCATACTAATAGTGATGTTGATCAACCTAATAATCAAATCTCTGGTCCATATCATGTTGATGTCTGTCCAACCTCTCAAGCATCAAAGAAATGGAGAATAAGGGTTGGAGTTGGGATGGAGTAGGTTTGAAAAAACTCTCACCTCTCTCAAAAGTTATCTTCTCGTATAAAGCTAAAGTCTCCTTGGTCACGACCTTACTAGGATTAAACTATTCCTGTCAAGCCTTACTCTTGAGTTGAGCCTTAGAACAATATGTAGCGATCATTGACAAGTATCCTGAATTAATGATAGCACCTCTCTCTATGATCTTTTGGATAGAATCATTAATCACACTCCCCACATAAATAAAATTTTCATTATGAATAAAGTAATTGAAAACTACTTTATCCCTTTTCACTTTGCTAATATTAGGCAAAGGAACAAGTTTTGTAGAAATAAAATAATGTCACTCCTTTAACTTAGTGTTAGACTAAACCTAGAGGGACAATTATGTTAACAAAAATAGGAGCTTGGACGAAATTCCACCATAGTGGAGTTACATGCCCGAACACATCGCCGCTCGGGAGACCAGCTGTGGTCAAAGGCATATCTCCGATGCTGCATGTAAGTAAAATAGTATTTATATTTCTATCATTTACTTACATTCTTATGTAACGTGCTAATTATCCTTAGGTTTTACTTCTATAAGAGGGTTATGAGCGCTTGATGGTGACTCAGAGTGAAAGCCCGATTGGTCTTTGTAGTAGAAGTGGTCATCACAACCTAACCACTCAAAACTTTGCGATTTAGATGGAAGCTGCTGTAAAGAAGAAGAGGAGAGACTACGGATTGGGTGCTCAACGATTTGTCTACATTGTCGAGCAATCCCATTTATGTCAGAGTTAGATGTTGTCATCATCAATTGATGACAAACTTCACAAGCATGTGGCCACAATCACTAAAGAGTTGCGGACAAAATTTGATGTTGAATTACATGATAGGAATGTGAGGGTCAAGTGACTTGACACCGCCATTGCGCAGCTACAACGTGACATATGCCGTGACAATCAACCATTGAATGCCGTGTAAGAGGAGGTGGTGGAGGAGGACGGTAATGTCTTGTAGGGTTTATATGTGTTATTTTTCTTTCATATTTGGACGTTACATTGTATATATATATATATATATATATATATATATATATTTAACAAATATTTTAGGAACCTATGTATTGGATGATTTATAAGATTTTCTGAGAGATTTATGTTGATTTTATTCATTATCAATGTTTCTATTAGTTTTTTCAATTTGTTGTGAGATATAATTGTGGTTATTGTTGAGTATTATAATCTCTATTTGCATGTGTGAAAATTTTGACCTGACTTTAAGTATATATTATTTTTATTAATTGTGTGCGGCTGTTTTTAGTCTTTAATTAGCATTCAAACTAATCAGCTGTAATTTCAGGCATTATTTTGTGGTTGATCATATATGCCGTAAGCTATCCTACGACTGAAAAATTAGCAGCAAAGTTGACGTAATTT